CTACAAGAAATGTCATTAAAACAATATGTATATATATATATTATATATATATATATATATAAACCTTAACTAGCTCAGGTCAATTATACTTATCCAAATAAACTAAAAATCCATTAAACATTGATGTAGTGGGTTTGAAGCGGACCTATATAAGCATTTTGAGCAATTCATAGGAGTTTTGGTTTTTGGTTATTTAATGGACCATTTGCTAAAAGTGGCCAGCCGATTAACAAAACAACATATAATGTATTGGCTGATCATTGGCCAGGCCTTTCTGACGGCTGCCACTAATGGTTCACTTAGTAACCGATGAATAAAACTACAGTGGACCGCCCAAAATGTGTATATAGGTATACTGAAATTTCTTAAGAATGTTTGCTGGCAGGATTCTCAAATTTTGAAAATAAGATCAATTTATAAGCATTTTACAATTAAGGTAGCTTAAATAAAACCTAATACAAATCTCTTGTTTTAGGTTTAACTTTAAACTTAAGTTATTAAGCTACAATTTTAGCTTAATCGTATTAGAGCCTCTAATTTAGAAAGGCGAATAGTGATTAGGAAATAACGCATTTTAACATAACAAGTTTCTAAAAATACATACCATGGGTGATGCTCGAGGTCATGATCGTTTTTTACTAGGAACATGTGGTTAAATAGGTATACAAAGTTATTTCATATTTTTTGTGTTTCAATTTTCCCTTTTTATTTAAATTGTAAAATAGAGTTTTTTCTATTTAAAAAATTGAATTTTATTGTTAAATGAGTTTTTTTTTATCTGTGGGAAACAGTGGTTAAAACTTGGAAAAAATGATAATTTTGCATTAAATATTTTTTCAAGCTTGATAATTTTGTTTAATAATAAAATAATTGCTCCCTAATATTAACAAAAAAATATTTTATTATAGTTAGGCCAACATGGGTATCAAAATAAGCGTAATAACAGGTTTTAGATTTTATTCAAGAAAAACTATCAGGAGCATTTCCTAAGAAGAAGGGTTTCCTAATTTTTTAAAAAAAAATTTTTCAAAAAACCTTATTTATCTACGCTTCTTTTGTAACCCAGGTTGAACTAATTAGAGAAAAAATATTGTGTAAATATTTGGGGGCAAATAATTTTTCAAAGACAAAGTTTGCAGAAAAAGAAATCCAGAGGCAATTCTACGAATAAGTGAAGAATTGGCAAGCGAATATTTAAAAAGTACCAACCGGCCCTTAAAAAAAAAAATGAACTATGGCCTGACTAAACAGCAATTTTCTTCTTATGACGATGCCAAAAAATAAGTTGCTAACTGAATTATTTCAAAAGACCAAGACTTTTTGCTGTCTGAATAATGGGAGAAGGTCGTAGCTGCCAATGGACAGTATTTTGAATGATCTGAGCCTGATAGTCTCCTCTAAACAAACAGTTGATTTTGATAAAATACGCTCATTTTAAATGCATACTCCTAATATCTTCATATTTTTATCAGCAAAAATAAACCATTTGTAAAATAATTTTTCACAACAATTAAACCATTTGCAATACTAATTAAAAAATATAAAACTTATCTACAAAATGATAATAATTAATTGCAATACAGTATAAATTTTTGAGATGCACTTAGGTATAGCAATTTCAAACAAAGCTGGTTAAACAAAAAGTTTTTCACAAAAAATCGGTGTTAAGCAATGTTTAACAATTCTGCCAACGAATTAAAAAAAAAACGATAAATTTTTGTCGCTTCACTTGAATAAAGTTTTTTAATGTTGATTTAGGTGCCCCAAGAAGCCCTTACGGTCATATCACAAAGCACCGCGGAAGAGCATTTAACAGGAAGTTCACGCCTCCTTCCCAACCGATGTCGCAAAACTTGCCCAGAGGTGGGTTTGAATCTTACGTTTCTGAGGCAAGTGCGCTACCACTGCGCCACGGCTGCTATTGTTCATATTTAAAACTAAACATGAACTCTCTTCTATTGTATTTCAGTCTTACTTTAGTGAAATCTCGCACAAGTATCCTACTAAATTTTCAATGAATAACTTTATTGTTCCAATAACTAATTCAAAACCTAATTCTTACAAAATCCAATAACGCGGACCGTTGCTATGGAAACATTTTGTAAAATTTATCACAAACAAATAATAATGTTCAACACGTCTCTTTGGAAAAATTCAGAATAGAATCTAAAAATCTCTTATCACAAAAAGACTTTGATTTAAAATATCTCTTTTAAAAATAATACACAAATAATATAAATTATCTAAAAAAATAGCTATTGACACTACTTCTCTTTTGTTGCAATTTTAATCTTACTTAATTTTTTGTTGAAAAACTTTAATACTTTTAAATTATTGGTAATCTTTGATATAATGGGTTATATTTCAACCCTAATATTTACATTATGTTATTAGTTATATTGTAACTAACGTATTTAAAATTTTTGTTATGTGCTTAGCTACTTTTCATTTTTCATATTAACTGACGATTTTTTAATGTAAATTTTATTATGGAGCTTAATGATAAGACAATATATGTCTTCTGCTTGCTCCAGTTCTCTTATTTATTAACAACGAGTTATTTCATTGTAAATTTTAATATATGACAAAACTCTTTGCTTAAAAAAGACAAAGAAAAAAAAATAAAAATAAAATAATAATAATAATCAAGACAAAAAAAAGTATATCATATTAAAGTTCAATTAAAATCGAAGAAAAAGTCCTATTAAAACTCGATTAAATAAAGAAGTTCAATTGACCAATAACAATCTATAAAAAAGGCAAACAAAATGTCGAAAAGACAAGTTTTTTATCAGTAACTGATAAAAACGACAACTGTTGTCGTAAAACAAAACAACCGGCGCACAGTGACTCAAAACAACAAAAAACGGCAATAAACCCATCACCATTTTTTATAAATTAAGCGCCCTTTGTTAGATAATATTAAAAGACAATGATTTTTTATTTCAAAAATAAAAATAGTTTTTTCATTAAGCTTTTATTTTGTATTTTATAGGTTAAAGAAGTAAAAGAATTTGATATTATTTTTAAAGAAATCTGAAAAATGTGAGGTTTTTATTCAACTAAATTAGAGAACTTGAAACTTAAACAAAAGTATATTTTTATTTTTAAAATAGTATTTTGAGTCTATAAATTTCAAATATTGTAAAAAGAAAAAAAAAGTCTGATTTTTTTGTTTAAATTTAAAGACTTCTCTAAAAAAAAGTAAAAAATAATTGTATTTTTGTTGTTCATATATCAGCTAAAATAATGTTCCACCGAAACCCACAAATATATATATATATATATATATATATATATATATATATATATATATATATATATATATATATATATATATATATATATTTTTCCAGTTAATTGACATTTCTACTTTAGGAATGTAAAAGGATTACTGCGGTCTCCTGCGGTATTGGAAGTTATTAAAGAAAAACAAATGTTGATGATTTTATAAAAACCTTTGTTTCCGCCAATTTGCTAAGAACTTTATTTTATCAAAACAAATGATATTGGCGGGAAAATTAAGGTTAAGTTTCTTGCCTGTAGAACTTGTTCTAATATAGTTTTCAAATCATAAATATTAAATATATTTTTAAAAAACGTGCTTTTGTCATTATATACTATTTAAAAGTTTTTTAAAATATTTATTGACAATTTTAAAGAACGATTTATTATTCGATAAGTACAACATGTTTGAAAAAGCTTAATTGAACAACTTTGGTATTTTCCGTTTCAAGAAATACCAAATTGTTACATCCTGTATTAAAACATTACTTAGTTAACTTTATATTATATGTAATATAAAGTTAACCAAGTAATATGTGTTATTACAGGATGTAACAATGTGAAAACTGTTATAACAAGATAAAATTTGAAACAAGTAAAGTCATAACAAGATAAAATTTGAAACAGTGTAAAGTAAAAAAATATGTAATGTAATTTAAAATGTGTCTAATATATTAGTTTTATTATATTGATGGTTCTTAAAAACGATAACAACGAAAAGATTAGATCTTATCCCAAATATACGTGAATTAGGAGTTGATAAATTAAAATTATGGAAGGATTTACTTAATGAAATAAAAAATACTGAAAAAAATCGCAAAGAAAACTTAAATAAAGTTAGTTATATTAATATTATAATAGTATATAATAGTATATATTATAATAGTATATATTAAATTTAGTTATATTTATTTCGAAGGTGAAGAAAAAACTAAAACAATGGGGACGAAGCTATGATACAAAAAGAAAATCGTTGGCATCAAAGAAATCTTATGTACAATAAAAATAGCCATTTTGGTTCTGGAAGGCCCTATAAACAATAGAGTGTTCTTGGAGAGAGAAGCAAAAGAAAAAAAAAACAAAAACAACTAGCCACTGAACATCATGAATCTCTATTTTTAGCTTCTGCAAAAAGTGTAAATGCTGCTGGAGAAAAAAAAAAGCGTCTGTTTTAAAAAACAATATATCTAACGTTTTAGACAGAAAAAGTTGATAAAACTTTAGATAAAACCTTTCCCATTAACATGAGTGTAGAGGATGCACATAGAAGGTATGTCTAAAAGGCAGTAGGACATGTTACTAGTAGCAGGGTGATATTAGTGATCCTGACCTAACATATTTTTTAACAATTCTACATTTCGGTATATTAACCCATTTTAACCCTGGCCCTAACTCTACTACCTACAATTTCATAAATAAATTTTTACTGGTGAAATTGTTACTGTTGCATTGTTCAACCAATTTACATACACAATGGTTCAAGGCTAAAGACATTTTCTTTACAATTTTTATTTCAAAATGTTTTGTACTTAACTTTATTTCAGCACAATTGATCATTTGGAAAAAATTTTATGTGATGATAATGCTTTTTTAGGTAATTTATTACTCGGTATTAATTAATGAAAACATTTTATTAGAGTTTTATAAAAATTAATAAGAGATTTTAGTATTCAGCCAAAAATTTTAAAAAGCATTACTCTAAGTCTACTAGACTTACATTAATTAAATATTAATTAAGTCTACTAAATATTAATAAAGTCTACTAGACTTTTATTATTTAATATTTGTATGCTCTTGGTGCTGTTTTATTTTTCACAGAAGTAGTTACTGTTAACGTGTGCAAATTAACGTGTGCAAATTTAAGCAACAACCAAAAGAAGGTCAAAGTATAAAGATAGTAATAATAATAAGGAAATTTTTTTTTTAATTTGTACAGTTAGAAATTCTTAAAATTTATTTAAAAAAAATAAACAAATCACTCAATGTTACAAATAAAAGTTTTAGCCAAAATACAAATTAAAACTTTAAAAATAATTGGTTAGCGTATTCATTTATTTACTAATGCAAAAAAGGCATTTATCTATTGATTTAGATCAGTAAAATGGTTGCATTATGTTAACAAGTGCAATTATTAGTTTACTCCTACAATTAAAGGGTCGACGCATTTTACCTACTTTTATTGATAACATACGCAAACGTTGGTCTTTTATAACATTTTTTATAACCTTTTGAATAAAGTTATTTTTATGTTAAAGCAATTATTTCATGGTGTTTTTAGTAGGGATGTACCGAAGCTGCAATTTTGCCGAAGCCGAAGCTTCGGCCGAACCCACTTTGCCGAAGCCAAAGCTTCGGCCGAAGCCACTTTGCCGAAGCCAAAGCTTCGGCTTAAGCCTATACGTAATTTAAAGCTCAATTTACTTCACCACGGTGGTTTGAATAATCAAGTTGCTTTCAAAATTATATATCAATGTTTTAGGTTTCAATGTTTTGGCCTACATGCCCATTTTAGGAAAATTATAAAACAAAATCAATATTATAAAAAATTTAAACAAATTTTGTACAAAAATTTAGAGAGTGAAATTTAGAGTCTTAACTCTATATATCTAGCAGGTATAGGAAAGATTACATCATTAAATCTTAGACATTTACTGATACTTAAGGTAAATTATGGTCTATTCTTTGAAAGAATTTATAAAAATGTAAACACGTAAAATGTAAAAATATAAAAGTAGTCATCATTTGAATTTGAACACAAAATTTGGTATTTGTTTTAAATTTTGTTAAAAAGTTGAATCAGTTGAACTAAGAAGCTACAGTCTATTATTTAGTTAATAAATATTTATTCAATGAAAGCAGGCATATTACAATTTAAAAATGCAATCTGTTCTCCATGTTCGGGTAATAGTCTGTTTCTTTTTGCTTCAAATATGTTTCCAGATGTGCTAAATAAGCGTTCACTTTTTACAGATGAAGGAAGCGCGCACAAAACTTTCTTTGAAAACTTTGACAAATTCAACTTGTAAGTATCTTTATCAGAGGAAGTGTAACGGTATGCACTCCACCACTTATAAGGGCATTCATTCTTTGGCAGTATTGGAAGGCTCAAGTAGAAGTTGACTTCATCGGTGCTGATACATAAAATACAGGTGATAATTTTAGGTTTAAATTTTTAAAATATTACAATTTAATCAACTAAACAAAATAAAAGAATGCTGTTATCCGTCTTTTGAAATAAAAAAAATGGAAAATGAGAATAGAAATGAAAAAATATTTAATATTTAATGTATAAACAATATAAAAATCATAAATAGATTCTGTTTTCTTACCATTTTTCTTTGACAGTTAGAGTTTTTCCCATTGAACTAGTGTTTTTTTTCTTTTTTCTCCGTCCGTCAGAATTTTCTGAATTTTGTAGAGCATACTCATTTGCACCGATTTGGTGGAATAAGCTATATATGTCCATGCTCATTAGTTTTTTTTTTTTTAATGGAGAGCCATGGCCATCAAAATCTGAGTTGGACTCAGATTTTGATGAATTTTAGATTCTGAAAATGAACTTAATGATTTTTCTGAGTCTGATCCACTACCTCTTGCTACACCAAATTCAATTTCTTTTACTTGTTCTAAATGAGATTTGGAACAAAAGCGGTAGAACTCTAAATGGAGTATTTCTTTAAACATATTATGATTCTTGTCTTCAACAAACTTTAACTTGAAACGAGGATCAAGCATCATCGCGATTTTTAAATCAACATTATCCTTGTATTTTTGAAAACGACAGTTAAAATCTTTCTTAAGTTCATCAACAACAGTTTTTATTTCAGTTGCCGTGTCACAAGCGTAGTCTAGAAACTTTTCCATTGCATAGATAAATGGTATAATCTCTGATATACTTGCCGTTTCTTTACTCATGACTTTTGTAGTACTTTCGAAGTGTTTTAATATGCATACAAGCATTTCAGCAAGTTGCCATCGATTTTCCGTAGGATTTTTTGCATTTGCTTGATTTCTGGTAATGCAATACAATGTAATAGCTTTTTTCTGCTCAATGAACCTTTCAAGCATATAGTATGTCGAATTCCATCTTGTGGAAACATCTTGAATTATGTTATGCTCTGGCAATTTTAGTTGACTTTGAATTTCCTTTAGTTTAGCCACAGCACTAGATGAGTGGTGGAAATGTCCTGCTAATGCTCGAAAAACAGCTATTGTATCACTTGCTGTTGTTTGTTCTCTAAAAATCTTTTTCTGAATACAAAGTTGTAAAGTATGTATCAGACATGGAAGATGTTTATCGCCTAAATTTGACTCTTTAATGGCAGCCATTACATTGGCTGCATTATCAGTTAAAACTGCATGAATTTTTTCATGGGGAATTTCCCATGATTGTAGCGCTTCATTTATGAATTTACTTATATTGTGCCCTGTGTGCGACTCAGGGAAGTGTGTAACTTGTAAGATGACATGTTTAACTGTAAACTCATGCGTTACAAATCTAGCTGTTAAACTGTAATACGATTGAATTGTGTGCTGACAGGTCCAACCATCACAAGTTAAACTTAAGAAATCTGCTTAATCAAGCTCATATTTTACTTTGGCTTTTATGGTTTTATACATCAGTGGAATTACTTTTGTGGAGAAATACTTTCGACTAGGTATTGTATAGTTTGGAGCTAAATTCTTTAAAAGTCGGGTAAAACCTTTATCTTCAACAATACAGTATGGCTGCAAGTCTAAACATATCATTTCTCCAATAAGCTTGGTAATAGCTTGAGCCTTAGGATTATCAAGTTGCCACAATTCTTTTCTTTGCAAAATCTCCCGCAGTGAGACCTGAAACAAATTCAACGAATTAAAAAAATTACTTAGCAACTTGTAACTAACAATGGCCAGCGACGGATCTAAGTGGCGGATAGAGGTATGTATCTTTCTTCCCTCACCAGTACATTTATTATAATATTATAAGCTTAGATAAGTTAAGTTAACATTTTTCTATACAAAATATAATTTTTCGACAAGACATGCCCCCATCCAGTCACAAAATCATGAATACTGAATAGTAAATGAATTCAGCTACAGTTAGCTGAGTTACCTGTGTCGATGCTTTTTGAAAAAAGGCAATTGTGTTATTAGACACACGCGAGCTTCCCTGCGTTTCATCTGTGGCAGTGCTGGTAATGATTTGCACTGATTCAGCAGAGCTTGTTCTATCTGAGCATATTGTTCGAGTAGTGCAAAATTGTTTTATAGACTTTTCGTTTGGATTTGGTAAAGATTCGTGGTTAATAATTTTCTTCTGAGAAAGAATCATGCTATGTATATTATAATGTACTTTTTTCAGATGGTTTTGTAAATTTGTTGTTGACATGTTGTGTGCGTCTTTACTTCCTCTAGACAAAATCTTCTTGCAAAGTATGCAGATGGCTTTGCCAACATCTTCATCACTCACTTTAAAATAGTTCCATAAGGGATTTTTACTTCGCGATGAGGTAGCCATAATGCGCTAATGGATAACTTAAAGTTATAATAACAATTCTGAAAATTGAAATAGAAAGTTTAATTATTTTCTTACCTTTAATAATATTTATTGAAATAAACAATATTCGTTCAATTTTTTGATTCAAATATTATTTGAATTAAAAAAAATCGAAGTCGTAAATAACCAATTAACCTATATTTGTAGAGCAGGTATATTTACTTTTACTAATGATCCAGCGTACAAAATCAAAAACAAACGCAATTGACTTACATTTCAATTGTGCTTTTCTGTGTAGTATCTTTTCTGTGTAGTGTCTTTCTTTATAGTGTCTTTCTGTGTTCTGTCTGTGACTTAGTAAAACAAACTTTCTGAATAAAAATTGTTTCGTGCGTTAAAAATAACTTATTGTATAGATTTTTAAAAATTTCGAGAATAGTTAACTCTCTTAACTCTCGTGCGCTATGTTTTAGTTACATCTAAGTAATTTTAAATGAAGATTTATTTCCAGGTTTAATTTTTAATTTTAATTTAATATTAAAAAATATATAATTTAACATAACTCGGATTTTAGAAGTTGATGCTAACTAATAACTAAATGCTAAAAAAATTAAATTTTAATAATTTTTCATTATTTTACTACCAACTAATGCATAAATAAATTTTATTGCTAAGCTCGAGTGATCATAACTAAATATTAGGGTTATGGTATTTAATTATATAAAGTTTACTATAATGTTACAGTTTAAATCAGCTTATATTGAGTGATTATAAAAAAATCAATGTGTTTCATTAAGTAACTTTACTTTCTATTCGCTATCGTGCCGTTTTTGGCCGCCCTACACGCGGCCTTGCCACCTCCAAAAGCCGTTGCTGGATTCATTTAATCTTTGCAATTGTATAAATCAGAGGCTTATTTAAATTTCTTAGAAGAAGAAAAGAAAAAGAAGAATTTTGAACGTTCAACTACGTTTTATTCGGAAAACAGACAACGTGTGAACGTTTAAAAAATGTCTTCCTCAGTCGAATGCCAGCTTAGTAATGTCCATTTTTTTGCCGAAGCCAATGATTCGGCAAAAAACGCCCATGGCTTCGGCCGAACCGAAGCTTCGGCAAACCGAAGCCGAAGCCGAAGCTTCGGTACATCCCTAGTTTTTAGTGCGCATATTGTAGCATTATTTTTGATTTGTTACTAAATAACAATGTTTAATTGTTGTTTAATTTTAATTTTTTTTTAACCTGATGTAGATGCAACTTATCAACTGGCTCTTCCATATTGAGAAACCTGCATGTGATCTTAATCAGCTAATGAAAAGTTTTGTTGTTTGTGATTGCTTAGTTTGCTCTCTTATAAAAGTCATATACTTTTGTTTAATATCTTAATTTATTCTTAACATTTAATACGTTTAGAAATATTATTTATACTAAATAAAGCATATGATTTTTTTGGTTACTAATGACTAGTCAGTTTTCCAACAAGGATCGCGGCGCCGGTTTTTCTATTTTATTTATAAAAAGGAGGGGGGAGAGGAGTTTGAATTTTATTGTTATATCTTATGTTAGATTTATTGTTATTTTTAAGATTTAGAAAGAAGAAACCTTGTTCCCCTCGCCCATCCCCTCTTCCCCGTTGCCGTAATTACTCATGAAAAAAAAAATACTCAAAATTACTTAAAATAAAATGCGGTGTCCCCTAAGTTTCCATTCTTGGGCCTCTTTTATTTTTAATATACATTATTGATCTCCCTAAAGCCTCAAGTAAACTAGATGTCATAATGTTTGCAGATGATATTAATTTATTTATGCCCTCTTATCTATAGCAGATCTTTGTAAAACTACCAGGGCTGTGGAGTCGGAGTCGGAGCGGCGGAGTTGCAACATTTTTGTCGGAGTCGCTAAACAAAATCGCGACTCCGACTCCAATAGTAAAACTTCTATGTGTTGCACGTGCATGAACAAAACATTCAATTAACTTTATGTTCATACTAAACCTCAAAGAACGTTTCATAAATTTGTCAAAAAAGTTTTTATTTTTTTTTTTATCGTAATATTTTGTAAAGAATTCAAAGAATTTTTCAAAAATTTTGTTTTGGAGTTGTAGTCGGATTTGGAGTTTGAGTTAAGTTGTTCTTAAAAAATAACAACAACTGGGGTCGGATTCGTTACTTTTTTTTTACAACTCCACACCGCTGGAAACAAATACTGAACTTGAAAAAATAAAAAATTAGTTTAAATCAATCAAATGATCGCTTAACACAGAAAAAACAAAATACATTCTTTTTCATTCTAACCTTAAAAAAATACCTTCCCAATTTACCTTTGTTAAATATAGATACTAAAGAAATTAAGAGGACCCAAGCAACTAAATTTATTTTTATACTTACTGATGAAACTTATTGATGAGAACACAATGGAAAGCGCATTTAGATATATTAAATATCAACATATCAAAAAACATTTAAATCCTCTACAAAGCTAGTTCCTTACTGTCTCCTGAAAATTTAAAACTTATATATTTCTCGTTCATACAAAGCCGTTATATATACGCTACTGTTGCATGACACAAGAGGAACGGGTAACTTCAACGTACCTTTTAAAAAAACAATTCTCTCGCGCTTTTCTGTTTTATATCGTGATCCCTATCTATTCAACAAATAAAAATACTCAACTGGAAAAATAGAATAACTTAAATTCTCTCAAAAATTTATTATATATATATATATATATATATATATATATATATATATATATATATTATATATATATATATATATATATATATATATATATATATATATATATGTATATATATAGCGCCATTTGGCGTATATCAATGTCTATATAAAATTATCACCTTAATCCTTTGATTTCAAAAAATTTATATATAGTTTTTGCTTTCGTTTACTTTTATATAAACTTTTATATACTTTCGTTTAAATTTATATAAAGTTTTTCTTTTTGTTAGAAAATGGTTTCATTAGATTAGAAAAAGCTTTAACCATTATCTATTTTTGTAAAATAAAATGTTTTTATCAAACAAGTAATGTAAGGATTATATTTTGATTAATGAAGGACCTGACTACATTTTAAAAAAAAGCCACTTTACCAGTAGTAACAGACAAAATATTAGATAAAAGCCAATATTATTTTATGATATATATGTATGGTCTTAAATGGATATCTTGTCATTGTACGTCCTTAATTTTATCAAAACCATTTTTTGACGATAGAGTGCTGAATGCTACCGCAAATGCTAGATGAGGTCTTAAAAATGTTGCGTGCAAAATCTCCAGTCTCGTGCGCAAGAACTAAACATTTAGTTCAAATGAATTTTATATGTTTACTGAAGATACTGTGAAAATTTTACTTTAATGTTATTTCTTGAAGTATTCATTATTTACAATACTTGAGGTGAAATCTGAAAAGGTTTATAACATCAAAATTAAACAGCATGCACTAAAGTTGCTTCAAAAAACTGCCAAAATTTACAATGTTCCTTAAGTTAACGACCTTTAACAATTGTATGTTTATCAGTGTTTGATAGAAATCTTGTGGTTCTTTAAGGAAAGGTATCAAGGTAAAAAAACTGTTTACCGTTGCTAAGGGCGTAACTAAAGACTAGTCGTTGTATGTAGTTACATAAAAGCTTTAAAAACTAAATAAGTAATAATTAAAAAAAAAATTTTCAATACATGAAAGTTAAGTAATTTTCCTTCAAAAAAAAAACAACAAAAAAACAAAAAAAAAAACGATTTTTTAAAAATTTTTACATATAATTTCTAGCTCTACTACTTTAAAAAACAATTTCATTTATACTACGGCTACTTGTTTTTTTATGTTTAGTGGATGTTTATGATTAATGATTAGTTCATGCTACTTTTTGAAATATAACGAACCTTTTCATAAAAACGTAACGTAATTAAAACACGCAAACAAGTAAAGTTTCTTAGCAATTTTATTTACCTTAGATCTAGTTACGCCATCAGGCTAATTCTGCTTCTATACCTATAAAATTATACTATAACCAAACTGTAAAAATTGTTACCATTCTACAAGTGGTTTTTTCTGAATTTGACGCACCGCCGAGTGACCATTGGACCCAAAACCCCAAAAAGAGTTTTTTTTAAAAAAAAGATAGGCTTAGTTACCTTTATAAATTTGTTGTACCGAAACATCAAATTTAAATAGTAATAAATATAAAATAAAATAATACTTGGGTATTTCACCCCTAAACTCTTTTAGAAAATTGCTAAAAATTGCAAATATATAAATCCAAACTACATTTAGAGTCAATAGGTCATAACAAATTTGTTAAAGAAATTTTACATTACGTGTGATATGCAACTAACACGGGTTATGTGAGTTTTCAATATGGCGATATTTTTTTAAAAGTTTAACAAATTTTAGCTTATTTTATTGCAGTATTGTGAATTTCCGGCCCTGGTATACACTATTTATTACATACGACACGATTAGTAATATAGACATAGATAAACAAGGGTTAAACAATCCTTGCTTCAATAGAATAGATAATAATAATAAGTCTATGGAGTCCCCCATACATAGATAAAAAAACTCATTTATTACTATTAAATATTAATAATAATTATTAATACTACTGTGATCAAAAAGTAAGGTGAATTTTTAATTTGAACTTCCTGTCTTATTCGAATCGTCCAATCTTTTTTATTTTTAAGTTGGTAGGAATGTCATTAACATTTGCGCCAAATTACATGTCAAACTCATAATTATTTTTTTTTTGTTTACGCTTGTTTCTGAAGTACCAAAAGTGCATTCGGCGATTTTCACGATGTCTAATTTTGTTGAGCAAAGAAGTGCTATTAAATTTTGTTTGCGGAATGATATTTCTGCTGCTGAAACGTATCAAATGTTGCAAAAGGCCTTCGGTGAAGAGACTATGTCTCAAAAAAATGTTTACAAGTGGTACAAAGACTTTAAAGAAGGCCGAGAACGTGTTGATGACTTGGAATGCTCCGGACGACCATCGACTTCGATTGATGATTGCCACATCAACAAAATCAAAGAATTAGTGCTTGCAAATCGTCGGTTAACCATTCGAGACCTTGTTGACATGGTTGGAATATCATTTGGGTCAGTGCAAGCGATTTTGAAAGATCATTTGGGCCTCAGAAGACTCAAATCACGTTTGGTGCCGAAATTTCTCAATTTCTTTGAAAAAAAGCGTCGCGTTAAAACGTGTGAAGCAATGCTTTCTGACTACCATGACGTCTACAAACAAATTATTACTGGCGATGAGACTTGGGTCTACGCATACAACCCTGAAACAACCGACCAATCGAGTGAATACTGTGAGAAAGGCGAGCCGAGACCGAAGCAACCACGTCAAAGTCGCTCAAAAATCAAGGTCATGTTGACTGTTTTCTTTGATTATTGTGGTGTCGTGCACTACGAATTCCTTCCAACTGGCCAAACTGTCAACAAGGAATATTATTTAAGCGTTATGCGACGTTTGCGTGAAGCTATTCGCAAAAAGAGACCGGAATTATGGACCAATAACTCTTGGATTTTGCACCACGATAATGCGCCTTCGCACACAGCACTGGTTCTTCGTGAGTTTTTCGCCAAAAACTCTACCCATGTTGCTCCACAACCACCGTATTCGCCCGACTTAGCACCGTGTGACTTCTGGCTGTTCCCAAAGCTCAAGAGACCACTCCGGGGAAATCGTTTTGAGTCCATTGAAGAGATCCAACGTGAATCGGCACGCACATTGAAGGCTATCCCTACCGAGGGCTTTTCGGCATGCTTCGAAGACTGGAAAAAACGTTGGCAAAAGTGCATTGGGGCCGGGGGGGATTATTTTGAGGGGGACGAAACAGATTTGGAAGAATAAATAAAGATTTTTCATTTTATAAAAAAATTCACCTTACTTTTTGATCACAGTAGTAATCGTTCTTTCCCCCTTTTTCTTATTAAAATCATTCTCTCGTTTCTTCCAAACAAAGCCTGGAAGGTCTTTGCAATCGTTTTTTATCCAAAAATGGTAAGACCGCGTTGTTTTCGGACCAGGGTGGCTCCGACGCCAAGCCATAAAATCATTCCACGAAGATTCTAAAATACAAAAAGTAT